TCTAACTGAGATTTCGTGGACCTCCCCTACCTTCCCCTCTCATTGCATCTGAATTGTCACTCATATGATTTGAATGGAATTTTACTGGCCATTTAGGAAACAGTTTGAACTCTAAAATACCCCTGTGACACAGTTAAATTCACACAGTGTTTTAAAGACTAAAGTGTACTGATTGCCTAAGTTGTAAGACAAGATGATAGAAAGACGGAAAGATCTTACAAAACATATGACTGTGCCAAAGCACAGTTTCTGACTGAATATCACTCAAAGAAAAGGAAACTTTCCATCTTTTTTGGTTTCTGAGGCTAGAGGTTATGTCATCTGGTGCATGTGGGCCACTATTAAATGGGAGATGTCTGTGCTCTCCGAACAGCATCTTAGGCTGAGCTTCAGCGATCAGATGCTGCCAGTTAAACCCATACTCCCACTACAAAGCTGTGGGTAAAGGGAAGATTTACTAAAATTGAGTGTCTGTCCTGGGTATTATATAAAACGTAGAGCTGCTATTCAGTTTTAACATATGAGGAAGGACCAGCAAGATTAATAACTTTACAACAAGTAGTTAGTGGCAGAGGCAGGATTCTAAATGAGGCCTGTCAGACTCCAGTATCCATTTTTTTCTTTTGTTAAATGAGGTGTTTTCCTTTTACTGCTTCTATGATATTTCGTCTTTAAATTTCTCATGAAGATTGAACTCAGTAAAGGTCTTCATGAATGGGCTTGCTGTATTTGAAGAATGCAGTTAAATGAAGTTTTTTCTAATTTATCACTAAGTTGATTTTCATTTAATTCAGTACAGTATCTAATTGCTTATCCTGGCATAGAAAGGGGCACACATGGGTTAGTTTGTTTTTATAAGATAAATGAATGTTCAGTATTTTGGATAGGTACCTTCAGCCTCCATCATTTGACAATTTTAGCGGCATAATTATGGAGTTTTTCAAATAGAGTCCACTGATAGTTAAATAACCTGACTTCAGTTATTCTAGAATTGCAGTACAGAATGGAAGAATGACCCCTTTTGAATAGTCTCCCAATTGCTTCATTTATTTCATATAGATTGTTTGCTTAATATGCTCTTGTTCAAGAGCAAGAAGCCAAACTTTACAATGTGTGGGGATTTTAGTGGCAAATAATTTCAAGGGTAGTTCTCTATTGCTATAAGAAATTAACAGTTTTTCCTCTTCCTCATTGTTGAAATAAGATGAGTGATAACGTTAAATCTCAATATTCTGGCTTTTTGCCCTTGTCTTTCCCACTTTTTCTTTGCCTTTCTGTGCATTCTCTCTTGCTTTCTTTCTTCTCTTTTGCTCCCTCATTACATCTGAATGGTAACCAGGAACATCATTTCCCCCAGTCTTTAGCCTTCTTTTAACACTTTGAAAATAGATCCACAGGGAATTAAAAGGTAATTAAGTAACTATAAATTATTAAAGTTTCCTGTTAGTAGTTTGGGGTATTTCATTATCATTAGATCAGTTACACTTTTCTTGACTCTTGTCTGTCTGAGGTATACTCTCTCCAATTTACTTATGCATTTATTCATCTTTCATTCAGCCTAAAAATACTTATTTCATGTGTACTGTGTTCTAGGCACTGTGCTAAGGGTTGTCAACCTTATTTCTATCAAAGCCCAGGTGGTTCTCACACACTGCACGCCACCTTGGCCTGCATATTAGTTATACTCAATTTTCAGCCTCCCCCTACTTTTTCCCCATTCAGGGAATAATATCTGACTGAATTCAGGGGGATGAGAGAGATGGGAGTTAATTTTGAAACCATTCTAGTGTATAAAAATAGTGAACTATTGCCAAAATTCAGCATGGAGGTTTATATAGTTGGTTATAACAACCCTCAGGACTAACTGATCTTGATGTTCTGGTGAGCCAGGATACTTCTGAACATATAAAGGTAGATAAAGTCTTGGATCACCAAGAAAAAGGCCTAGTGACGGAGGTAGGATGTATTCAAATAATTTTTATTTAAGGTAAAATATGGTAAGTGCCATTAGCAGTACAGACTCTTTCTAATGCATTTCTAGGGAAGGAGAGATTAATTTGGGGAGTATCAGAAGAGATATATAGTATCTGGAGTGGCATGTTAGCTGCATGGTAAGAAATGAAACATTCGGGGGGCAGGGGTTTAATGTGATTATTTTGAACCCAAAAGCCACTTATACCATCTATTAATTTGATATTCTGTTTTCTGTTTGAATATGAAATTATACATATATACACAAAGGCACGTGTACTTAAACACATTCACACACAAATTAATAGCATACTTTTTCTGTAGACATTGTCAATCACTTTGACCTCACTAGTTGATAGCAACTTATAATTTCCCATTGATTTCTGTAACTCTTTAAAAAATGTGTGATCTGGCCCTGGCCGGGTAGCTCAGTTAGTTAGAATGCCATCCCTGTATGCCAAGGTGCAGGTTCTATCCCCAGTTAGGGCACATACAAGAATCAACCAGTGAATGCATAAATAAGAGGAACAACAAATGTTTCTCTCTCCCCTTCTCTCTCTCAAATCAATAAGTTAAAAAAAATAAATATACTTAAAATGTTGTCTCATAAAATATTGGGCCTTCAGTGTGGGTTTAATTACCACTCAAGCAGCTCATTCTGAAGTGATTAATAAGTCACAAAAATAACCATTTCCTCTTCTCTCTATATAGCATTGGTATTTTTGGAAATTGGGTTGCCTGTGCCAAGTTTTATTTGTAGATAGAATGGGAATTGTTAAATGGTCTGTCATCAGTTCACAAGAAATCTTTGTTCCTTTATTAAGAGCAAACCAGATAACTAATTCTATTTAGAGTTTTCAATAACTTCTTGTACTCTTGAGGCAGCCGCACAAATCATGTAATTGCTTCAGATATTCAGCAGAAGTTTCTTGCTAAGAAAACCACAGGAACATGTTTTCTTTTCTCTTCCTTCCCTCCACTTTTTTTTTTTTTTGACTAGACATGGCTTTTAATAAATGAGGATTTTTATCAAAAGGAATATTTGAAAAATATTTTAATAAATGAAGATTTTTTTATTTCAACACAAGAAATAATCTGAATGTTCACCAATAGTGGAATAATTGAATAAATGGTGATACATTCTTATTTTGGAATATTATGTGGTTATTACCAAATAAGAATGATGAAGGTATAGTGACTCAGAGAGACAAGCATGATATAGGTAGTTTAAAAATATTAATGGCTATGTTTACTTGTTATATTTGTATATAAAAAAGGTACAGAATGATATAACCCTTAAGGATATTAAAGTCAGATAGGATAGGCAAGACAGGTAAGGAGGGGTGTTAGTAATACAGAAGAGATTTCAAGAATAGACTCATACATGTATGGTAATTTAGAACAGAATAAAAATGGCATTTCAAAGGAATGGGAAAAACCAATACCCTTTATTAAGTAAAGTAATAAAGGGTATTGGAACAGTTGTCTGACTAGGTACTTGGGAAAAAATGAAGACGCTGTTTCCCTTCCTCATTCCTTTTATCAGAATGAATTCCAGATCAAATATTTAATTTTTTTAAAATAATGAAGTCATGCAAGTTCTAGAAGGAAACATTAATGATATTTTAAATTTGAACTGAAGACGACCTAAGCATGACCCCCATTCCAGAAATAATTAAGGAAGGATAAATTTGCCTATGCTGTATTCTTTTGAAGGCTTGAGAACTGGGTGAATCTTGAAACTATATGTGGACCCCATTTTCAGCAACATGGCATTATAAGTTTTTTGATACTGCTTCTCAAGCATTTGGACCAAGACAAACTTATACTGACCCAAAAGGCTACTACCCTGTGTTTTCAGCAACTGTGTTTGTGTTTGTGATTGTCAGCACGAACCATTTAAATTGACTGCACTTAACTTCATTATTTGAATGTTTGCATGAGGTTGTTTAAACCATAATATGTATGTTGTCACTTCAAATATAACAAATCAAACAGATTGTGATAAAGTATGTAAGAAACTGGACGTGTAGTTTACCTCTGGGCTGTGGGGATAAACCTCATTTTATGCTATTTTCACCTTTATAATATGAATATGTGTTGTTTTATTATTAAGAAAAACTATTTTTTAGTCATTGAAAAGTAATTTAGAATTTTGGGCTTCTAAAAGATTTTGTCACATTCATAGCTTGTCTCTTGCATAGCTGTTTTAGCGAATCACCCATTAGGGGGGAAAAAAACAAGGGAGTAAAAGTTTGTCACTGGGTTGCAGCACGTATGTATTGGAGAGACAGACACAAAGGAATTTGTGATTTGTGTGTCACAGATGGGTGTTGAGGCTTCTCACCCCGCTGAGTGAACTACAGTGTTTGTGCACTGCGACCTTGGAGGCTGCAAGTATGTGTCACTTAAGAAAGTTGCATTTTCAATTCAAAACATTTGATTCTTACAAAGCATTTATTTAATAATACTTCCAATCTCAGATTTATTATAGTGTAGAATGCAAAATTTATGTAAAGTATTATAATACGAGCCATCATTATTATTATGGAGGGCCTTCTATGAGCACTTCTGTTCCTCCGGGAGCCATCTTTCACATTTCTCTGATGGGAAACTCTGAGAAACATTGCCCTGAGTAGATATGAATGGGTGCCTGTAGTTTGTAATCATCCTAACACACTATTTGGATTTTGAGTTCCAAAGTTACTGAATGGAAGGAAGTAGATTTCATAAAGGGCACATTTTTTTAGGTCAATTTTGCCCATTAAAATGAATGTTTGATTATGTACTTAGAATTCTTACTGAATTCAGTAAATGCATGAGCTGGTAGGTACTTTGGTCATTAAAACTATAATCTAACAAAGAAAACAAAAAGTAAGTAAATAAGTAAGTAAATAAATAGAAAGAGAGAGAGAGCGCGCGCACACGCAAGCGAGCTATAATCCAGTTAAAGCTAAGGAAGCTAAATAAGCTCATTGTAATCAAATTTACTTTAACTTCTGTTTCTCTCCCTTTGTTCCTTTTCACAGGTCACAGTAATGAAAGGCAGTAACAGAAATAAAGATCACTCAGCAGAAGGAGAAGGGGCTGGGAAACGACCAAAGCGGAAGTGTCTTCAGTGGCATCCACTGCTGGCCAAGAAGCTTCTTGACTTTTCAGAAGAGGAGGAAGAGGAAGACGAGGAGGAGGATATTGATAAGGCAATTCCTCTGTTTATTATAGAAGTTTTACGTTTATTTGAGCATTTGTTCTAGAAACTTCAGCAAACACCCACGGGGTGAAAGATACGTTTCTAAAAGTCTGTGTAATGGGAATCCTGTTTAAGTGCTTAATCTACATATTTCTTCCAAATATTGATGATTCTTAAAGTGTCTATACTTCCTGATAGTTTAGACTGAAACAGATCCTTTTTAAATAGTGTTTCCACCAGCTAACTAATGATTTGAAGGTAATACTCACTTGCAGTAGAGATGGGGTTATTCAGAAAGTTTGGTGTGCTTACCTGGCACCCAGCCCGTTGCCCCTCTGGCCTCTTTCTTTGCTTCCAGCCTGTCCCTGCCACCATAGGCAGCCTCAGAGCTGCTTGGGCCCTTATCTCTGTGGCATCTCTGTGGCTGCTCTCTCCCCACCAAGCCTCTCGCAGTCAGTCCTCCAAGCCCCCTTCCCCAGACTCACACTTGAGCAACCAGCTCTTGTTTAGAAAGTCCACCTATTAGAAAGCCACCTATTCTCCCAGGTCTTGGCATAACTGCTCATCATTAAGGACCATCTCCCCAATAGATGGGACCTCATCCTTTCAGCTGTCCTTCCCACCCAACTCATTCCAGATCAGAGGATTTCCTCCATAGCACTTCTTACTATTTGTCTTGGGTTCAACTGTGCCTTTGTTTACATGTTTTTCTAGACTGGAATATAAGCTCAATAAGAACTTGCCCTTGTTGTGCTCTTCTCCTTCCTTAGAACCTAGAACGGTGTCTGGCATATAGTAGGGATCGAATAGATACATGCTCAGTGGAAGAATAAATGAGTACAGATTTTGTGTCACTACAAATGTTATAAGCACATTTTTGATATTCTTCAGGCCTTTGACATCTAGTCATTCTTTTGCTTTTGGCTTGTGTCACCTCCCTCTTCCACGGTCTCAGCTGGAGATGTAAATATTTTTCCTGTTTCTCAGACATCTTCTCTGGTTACCCTTTACAGTCCCTCTCACTCTCGACCGTTTTTCCTTTTCCATAGAGAATAGGGACCACCAGAAACAACTGCTCCGGTTTCCTCTCGCCTCCTCGCCTGTGCACACTCCTCACTCCTTATCCGTCTTTTCCTGCTCCTTTCCTTGTTCAGAGAAATAGGTACGACCCCTTCTTTTCAAGGAAATTGCCAAGTTTATACTTAATTTATCTTTCTGACACATTTGCACCTGTTGATCACTTGGTCCTTGAAGCTGTCTCCTGTTTCCATGACATCACTCACTCCTCTATATCTGTTCCTACCTTCTCAAATGTATTTTCCTAGTTTCTTAAAATTCACAGCCCTTCATTATTCTACCCTCAAATGTTGATTTCTTTTGGGTCTCTTATTTTAATTTCTGTCTTCATCGTGGTCCTTTCTCCTAAGCTCTGAACTTGAATTTCTGACTTGACATCTCCACTTAGATATCATGTCAGAATCTCTGTTTTAATGTGCTCAAGATGAAGCTTTTGTCTTTCTCTCCTCCAAACCCCATTCCCCTGCATTTCCCTTTCTCAGGAAGTGGCAGCTCCAACTTTCAAGTTGGTCTGACCTGAAACCTTGTCAGTTTTCTTTTGCTCGAGTCTCACATTCTTTTATCCATCAGCAAATGATCAGCTATGCCTTCAAACTGTCGTCGCAGTTCGACCCCTTCCTAGTAACTTCACTACTACCAGCTTGATCCAAACCGCCTCCATTTCTGGTACAGACTATTCTCTCTCCCTCCCTGCCTCTGCTCCTGCCCTTCTGCAGAGCAGCCAGAGGGATCCTTTCAAAGTGGAAGCTGGTCGTGCTGCTTGTCTGCCTCACGAGGTCAGGAAATGTGCATGCTCACTGCTCTGTGTGCATCACTGCAGCAGTGCCTGGTCTGTGCCAGGTGCCCAGAAACAATTACTGAGTGAGAGAAGGAAGTCGCTGAACCCTCTTCTCTCTCCAGTTCACATCCAGCGATCTCATCCACACCCTTAGTCTTAGAACCTTGATACTGATACCTCAGTTTGTTATCCCAGCTGAGACTTTGCTGAGAGCCACTTCCATTTCCACCCACTCAGTACTGACCTTTCTGCTCCCACCAGATCTAATTTCTTTCATTTGAGAAAACTTGTTTTTTATGTATGAAGGAGTCTTGCCACTGAACCTAGAAACACTCTTCCTTTTTCAACCTTTAAATCCAATTAGATGCCACTCTTGGTTCTACCTCATAAATAAATATTGTCTCTGTTCACACTTACCAATTCTCATTGTTACTGCCTGATTCAGCCCTGTTCCTGTTTTCACCTGGACAGCTGGAATAAACTTTTAACTGCTCTCTCTAGTTTTGGTTACATCTAGTTTTCTGTTATAATTCATGCCCTGCACTGTTGACAAGATTAATCTTAAAATGCAAATCTCCCCTGTGGTTTCAAGCAGGGTTTCCATATCCTGGTCTAGTACTAGTGTTGATTTGTTACAAAGTATTACAGTACTCAGCCCCTGGTGAAAGAAAAATAAATTTGGATAGTTTTTCACTATTATTTAATTTTATTTATTTAGTCACATATTTATATGTTGACTCTTTTTTTAAATCTTTTTGGTTAGTTAATATTATTAAATAGTAGCATTTCTTTTTTTTTGACGTCCATACTTGGCAAAATAAAAAGTTCACTCTCTGTGTTGGTCCTCACAAGGATTTTTATTGGTTGTATGATCTGAAACCACTTGTTTACATGATTAAATGCATGTTTTTTAGGTGACACATTCTTCATGAAGTGGCTCCTACCTTCTAAATCTCATGTCCCAGATCCCTGTTCTAATCTTTTATATACAAGTGCTATTGAACTGCCTATCAATGTTTGAATAAACCATCAGGCCTTAATCCCTGTTAGTTCCCCCATGTTTCCCCATTGAGACTACCTGCCAGATTCGAATTCATCTTTCAGAATTTAGTTCAGACAACACCTTTCCTAGGGAGACTTTGTGTACTTCTACCCATCTACTAGTGCTTCATTATCACACTGGTTCCTTGTTGCAGTCAGCATACTGCTTTTTAATTTATTCACATATGTATCTTTTCCCCTCCCAAAACAGTGAGCTCCTTGGTCCAGGATCTTATGTTATTTATCTCTTTTTCCAGCTCTTGGCTTGAGTTTTATAATTTAGTAACTGCATCAAAAGTTATTCTTTTCTAAAGGGAAGTGTAATTACTTCCTCAACCTACATAATACATTTTTTTCTGCCCGTTTTTTCTTTAGCTTCTTAGTTTCAGAATGCTAAATAAATATTCCTTGAAAATGCAAATTATTGTTAATGATTGTATACATAATAAGAAAAATTAACCTGTAGCCTTCAACCCAGTAATAATCCCTAATGTATTTCTAAATCAGATAGCTATAATTTCAAGTTTGTTCTGTACTATTTGTGTTTGAAGATAATTGATGGTTGATTAAATGCATTTGCAATACTTAATTTAAACTTAAAAGTCTTTAAAAGAAACACAAATTAAATTAAGCTAGTGATTTGTCCTGGAATATCTTATCTGTAACATTGCCCAATAAGCATAATATAAAAGAACATAGTTGACTTAAAGTAGTGGTCCTCAAAGTGTGATTTTCAGGCTAGCAGAATCAGGATCAGCTGGGAACTTGTTAGAAATACAGATTCTTAAGGCCAACTCCAGATCTACAGAATCAGAAACTCTGGGAATGGGACCTAACAGTTTTAACAAGACCTTTGGGGATTTCAGTGCCCACCCCAGTTTAAGAACTACTATCCTTCTTAATTTTAACTAGGAATAAGAAATTAAAGAAATGCTTTTAGTAAGCATTTTGGATTTCTGTTCACTGTTCCTAAGATATATCATAAAATCATACTTTAAAATCAGAAGATATTTAACTTTCCTAATACATTCTGAGATTCTGTGATCAGAGCTGTGCCTTAAGAAATTTAATCTTCAACTACATGCAGGAAGTATCTGTAAGAGATTTAAAGTAGGAAGACTAGGCCATAGGCTAGAGTGGTACTGGGAGAGTAGTAATGAGAATTACACAGATGAAATGGACAGGATCAGAGCTTTGCAGAGTCCTTGAAGACCTTGAATTGGATGAAATGCTGAGAAAAAGGGAGGATTCAGAACCGATTTGAAGGTTTAAGCCTGATGAGTTTATTTCTATCACCATAGCATTTCAGTAGACAGGAAAGCTTAATATTTACAAGCTTGAAAATTTACAGTGTGGTTTTTCCTTCAAATAATGTTAAATGTCTATTTTGATTTTCACAATAGGAGGCTCTACTTGTGATGTGCACAAAAACATTGAGTAGTGTATGCTAGATTTTTATTATTTAATTTCATATTAAACATTTTCATATTATAAGCCATAGAAAAGCACTTTACAAAGCAGAGAAAGACAACTCTTAATGTTTGTGTACTTTATGTGAATATTGTTGTTAATCTTGAGACCCATATGTCACAGAATGGGTTTATTCATTCAACAGTTAAGTACTAATGTTACACCAGACATTTAGCTAGGTGATGTGTAAGGAAAAAAGTGTAACAGTTATAACACAGGGTAATATATGCTGTAATAGACACACTCAGGTTGCTATAGAAACTAAGCAGAAGAATACATCATAAGTTGTTTACCAACAACTAACTGGTTAATAATTTAAAAAAAATATTTTTTTACTCAATTTGTAAGTTGTTTAAACCGAGCTAAGAAGAAATACAATTTGAAAACCAAGACTAATTGTTAAAGCAAAATTGTCCTGGATGTGTTAAACATCTGGCTTTTGTTTTCTTGGTAATAGGTTCAACTTCTTGGGGCCGATGGCCTAGAGCAAGATGTTGGTGAGATTGAAGATGATGAATCACCAGAACAGCGAGCCAGGAGACCAATGAATGCATTTCTCTTATTTTGCAAACGCCATCGCTCAGTTGTGCGTCAGAAACACCCCAGGCTTGATAACCGAGGTGCTACCAAGATACTAGCTGATTGGTGGGCTGTTCTTGATCCAAAGGAAAAACAGAAATACACAGACATGGCCAAGGAGGTAGGTTCCAATAACAAGGTTTTACAGTCTGGTTGTGAGCAACCAATCCCATAACCCCCAGTTCCTGCTGAAGGCCTAGCAACAGGAAGGTGAATCCTGAATTAGGTGTTAAGAGAGAACATAAGAGCTTTGCTTCTATTTCTGAGTTCCGAATTCAACTTGCAAACACTGGTGGAGTGCCAAGAGCAATTTATTACCAAGAGGTTTTTTTTCTCATTGTACTTACTCCACTGATTGATAGAGGGGATTGATTTTTAAGAATGGTGATTTATTTATTAGGAATGGGTTTTTTTAAATAGTTTTTCTAGGAACTCAGCTTCTGCTGTTAGAAAGTGCCTTTGGGAAAGATGACAATCTTAGGTTACCTTGGTTGTGTCATGGGAAAGAATCTTGATCTAGTTCTGACGCCATATAGCTTTGTGATGATATCTAAGTCAATCTCTGGGTCTCAGCTTCCTTCTTTTAATGTTAGAATGAGGAAGTTGGACATAAATTTGTATCCCTTCCAGTTCTAACATTTTTTGATTTTGTAACATACACGGTTATCAAGAGATATGTTTTGATTTGTTTCTTTTTTGTAGGTAGTGCAGCGTGAAAATTTAAAACTAGTAAGTGAATAAATGGCAGTGGAATAGGATGTACTGTGATGTGTGATGCATGTTTACACTGTGTAGGCAGTAGTCGGTGAGAAGCATTTCCACGCAGGAAGGCTTTTCAGAGAGGTGGGACATTAATCAGTTCTAAAATGATAGCAGTGACTAAATTTCTTCAGAAATTCTATACTGGTCTGTTTCTGAATTAATCTAAAATTAATGTGAGTTCACTGTACATTTAAAATATATTGTGTAATGGATTTATCAAGTAAGGAGGGAAAGCAAAGCAATATCATTGTGGTTAAACCTGAAAAGACTAATTCTGACTTTATTTCTTCAGTGTTTCCACTTGCACACATTCTTGATTCATGAAAACCCTGCCACCCAAGCATTTGGTTAAGTACTGTGAAAAGATGAACTAGCAGGGAGCAAAATACAAAGTTTCAAATGACACATGTTATTAAACATCTCAGTGTGTGGAAAAATAATTATTTTAATTGATGTGGTTTTATTGAGTTGTTTAATAAGCTAACACGGAACATAAAAATTTCTGAGGCAATGTTCAGGGAAATTTGAATCCAGAGTAAATGATTAGCTTGCCTACGTGCTATGCAATTAATGCTCACATAAGGCTTCAGGAATTGACTATTGTTAAAGACAAGATTTTAACTATGTAGAATGTTAAACTGGAAAATTTAAAATCAAGTCCAGTAACCTACATGATTTTAAATGTTTCAGTAGATTCCCACTAGCATAACAATAATTAACAGTAAAACTTTCTCATTACATAGCTTTAGGTCTTTTCATAGTCATGCTTATATGGTAAAATAAACAATTATCTGAAACCTCATAGGGAACGCCATTAGCTTCCTATAATTAAACAGTTGAGTTTGTTTTTGGATTGCTGTTTTTGGATAACATGCAGCCTGTACCAAGTATATTGTTTGCGTTTTTAAAATACTGCTAATTTACAAACCCAACAGGCAGCCACTTTTAAAAGGAGGAAGTATTATTTTCATACAGGAAATCCCTTACTAATTACTTAATTAGGGTCACAATATTTGCCATTGTGGTGCAGTAATGAAATCTGTTGAGGTCGCCCCCTGCAGTCTTCTGCAAGTGGAGACTGTAACTGGATCTTCACCTTCCTTCTTGCCTTGTTTATATATAGGGTGTCTCAAAAATATGTATATACACATTTTGAATAATTATAAAGGCAGTGTTTATTTAAATATATTTCATTTTCAAAATTGAGTTATCAGCTGTTAAAGTGTGTATACATTTTTGGGGGACATGAAATGTCATGTTTCTAGTGCACAGTGTGGAGGATTCAGCTACTTCTAAAATCATTATACAGTTGGTTGCTAGTTATAAGTGATACTTACTTGTTTCAACTTATTTGCTAAATGGTTTTGAAATTACATTAAAGTGCAGGTAATTCTGATGTTGCTTTTTTGTGTTAATATTGCAGCCTGAATTGGAAGGTCAGTTTAATAAACAAAAACTTATTGTGTGGCTTCAGGATACCAGGGCTTGTGGTGGTTTCTAGTGATAAATATATATGTTCTCAGTTCCTCAAGGTCCCCCTCAGGCAATCATTTTTATAATAATTTTCTATGTGTAACCTTTTAATTTAAAGCCCCCAATTTAAAATGTGTTCACTGTTAGGACAAAACATTCTTTCAGCATAGTTGACTGTCGGTGTGAATGCTTGCATGATAGTGTCACCGATAGCTATTCTGTCATTATCAATTGAATGAAAAATACTTAAATTTTCTCCATATGTTTTTAAAAGACACATATTCTAAAAACAACAGTGAGTAATAATTAATATAACTTTTGAGAGGTTTTTTTTTTACCTGTTAGACCCTTTCCTTGCATGATGTTGTACCTGTTCACAGGTCCTGACTGCCTGCCTGCCTCTTGGGACATGCAGAAATAATATTTCTTTTCCTTTTAACATCTTTATCTACATAAAGATCTTTATCTACATAAAGATGTTAAAATATAGGAATACATGTCTACCTTATTGCCTAGGATATTGCTGAAACCTTCCATGATTCACTAAAACTAATGATTATAATTAATTCATAATCAGTTTAGAGGAATCACATATCTTGACCTTCAAGTTGAGTGGGATCAGTGCAAAGAAGAGGGAAGGAGAATCTGGAAAATGAGGGCAATTTTGAATGACCTTTATAATACCCTCTCCCTTTTGTGTAGAACCAGAGGCATGAGGTAGAATGCATGCATTTATGGATTGATTGGTTCATCTTGGGCCTAACGTTTTGCATGAGCACAAGCATGTAAAGTCACTTCCAATTGTCCTCTCAGGCTCTTCGGAGTTAATATCTTGACCATTCGTGCATTTGTGGAGCTGGGATACTCTTGCCTATTTGACTTTAGCACCCTTTTATTATATGCTGCTCGCTTTAGATGCCTGAGAGAGAAGTAGATTTGAGTGAGTATGGCAAAAATGGTAACAATAAAATGTCATGATGCCCAGCTGGGCGTGGCACGGTGGGTGAGCATCGACCTAAGATCCAGGCGATCGGGGTTCGATTCCCGGTCAGGGCACACGCCCAGGTTGTGGGCTCGATCAGTGACTCATCATTGATGTTTCTCTCTCTCTCTCCCTCTCCTTTCCTCTTTCTGAAATCAATAGGGATATATTTTTAAAAAATATAAAAAATGCTATGGATCTTAGGGGAAGGGCCTACCTGTCCTGGGGTGGGGGTTCAGTGGTGGTATTTCAGAATACCCCTAGGCTTTATGAACTTGATAGAAGTTGGCCTGGGCTTTGACATAGGATTCAGAGAAAAAGGCAAGGATAAGAGCAGATGTGGGAAAGTAGGAATAAGTTCAGGAACAAGAAAGTTTGTTTTACTCCAAGCCTAGCATATGTGTAGGAGAGTAATAGGAAATAATGATGTTAAGGGAAAATTAAGAGACCAGGCTGAAAATTTTGGAGGTTCAGTTGTATGCCAATAAAGCAGCTATGGAATTAAATGCTATAAAATAACTCGAAGGTAAACTATAATAGCCTTTTGTAAATATTGGTATCTATTGTTGTCAGTACTCTAGGAAACATTATCACCACCACACAGCTCCGTTGAGTTTTTAGTGATTAGTTCTTCCTTCATATTTCAAGATAAAATTAAACCTGTTTTTGGTTATTTATTTACAACTGGGATACTTTTTGTCAAGACCATTCATTCCCTTGTTTTGGTTACATCAGAAATGGATTCTTCTCCAAAGAAGATATCTTCTCATTTCCTCATGCATTATAACTGGAGAATTTTGGGTAGCTGTCATGTATCCCGTGTACAGAATTTGTTTTATAAGCTGGCTGTGGCACCTTGCATACTGCTGCACTGAGAGTAGCACCTTATTTACCCAGCGTCCTTGAGAAACCAATGTTACACATTGTTCCGCCTTTAAACACTTTTTATTTTATATATCTATTCTGGAAATTTTATTTAAAATTTTGTTTACATACTTCCTTAAAGTATTCAGAATGCCTTTTGAAATTTTTTGAAAATTTCAACTCATTATTTACAAACAAGTTTTATTTTATAATCTGTAATTTGGTGGGACCTTTGTGAACAATTGCATTTTTGTCTGTGTATTAAATGATTCTCAGCTATTTGTTCTTTTGCATTTTCTCTTTGCTTTCCTGTGGGTCTTTCTTTTGGATCTACCCTCCACTGTCAATTGACATTTCTCTCCTCTCAGTTACTTTTGGCTACCTCTAATGAAATGACTTAATGTCTTTGGGGTTTTCTGCATGTGACTTCATTAGGCGCCCCACCACTTTGGGGTGATGTTGATAATAAAACCAAAGATTTTGGCTCTATGTTTCATAGTATTCCTTGTTTCTGAGACCTTTCCCATTCCATTATTTCAGCTATCAGTACTTTCTTACTGTATTAAAAAAAAAAATTCAAACATTTGTCTTTGAAATGATAATCAGTTTCTGAATATTGCTCTGTCCTGTCCAGTGTTCTTTTATAAACATTTAACTCATTTAATCTTCAGATGAATCCCATGAGGTAGATATTGTGTTTCCAAAGCTAAAGATGAAGACAGTGAGGCCCAGAAAAGTTAAGTGACTTATCCAAGGAAGCAAGTTAGTAGTAGTAGCCTTCTCCCTTCTCAGACCTTTCTGAGTTTCCACGTCTGGAAAATGCCTGCCTTCCTAGGGTCAAGGTGAGGCACAGAAAAGGGGATGGAGGTGCAAACATTCTGTAAAGTTTAAAATGCTATATAAATGTTAGTTTTATTGTCATTCCTGACAAGTAAACTTATATTTGTTTGTGTTTGATACTTCTTTACCTAGTTAATATTTGCCATTTTTATTAGGAAATTGTGAACACAGTGGAAGGCTACAAAAATGCAAAATTTGTC